CAACCAGCACTTGAAGGCAGCAGCTTTAACCACCACAGAGCAAACCGCTGTTGCTGAGATGTGGACCCACTGGATTCCACATGAATGTTAAAGTCCTCTTATGTAACTTGTAATCAACACCAAAGACAACATATTAACCCAAATAAACAACCAGAAACCAAGCCTTAAGTAGTAAGCTACAGCTTGCAGATGAAGGACAATAGCAGTTAGGCTAACATTACGCTCCAGGGGCCGTATTATAGGCGGTTGTTTTGCAGGTGTAAGTGGTGTCTGCGACTGAATGTCCTTGAGTTACTTCTGGGTTATGAAAGCTTTTTTTTTAAATTTTTATCAGCCCTATCAGAAGGAAAAACCTTAGTCCTATTATGAGACAAGTGTAAACAATTTTTCGCTGCCCCAGGCAAAGAATGAACATGATATTTATTTATGCTGAATAAATATTATCAAGATTGTTTTGTTCTTTGAAATTCTGCCCAGGATAAAAAAAAAAAAAAACACAGGTCACCTTCAAGAGTTGTTTTCCAAGAGAAGGAGCCAGTGTGCCAAGTTAATATGACCTAGGGTTTTCTTAGTGCTTCCACCCGATGCATCTGCTTTTACTTTTTATTTTTTTAAGTCTGTGCTGCAAATCCTTGAAGATTAAACTCTGTCAAATGATGATGATTCGCATGGTTAGCAAGTTCAAACATGCTCTGTATAAGATACTGACAGTCGTATGTATCACACAGTCTTGTTCAAATTGCAAAGCTTTGCTCATGGGATTAAAGTGAACAAGATTCTGCTGTTACATTTGACGTGAATCTGCTGTTCCAGAGTCAGAAATCATTTTGTGTCTGTAATGGTCAAGACTGAGTTGTGTGAAGCTCTAATCTGACTGTAAATCTGCAGTTAAATTTACCACCTCAAGCATGGGATTAAGGCAAGGTTGTGTAACAGAAACCTGAAAGGGATCAGCACCAGTGAATACAGTCAACACAAGACTGCTGTACCAGGAGGCTGACTATAGAGCTCCTGTTATCACACTAGGTCTTGTCATTCCTGTTTTGTTTCTTTTTCTTTTTTTGACCAACCTTAAAGAAGCTCTTTGTATGTTAAAACCATGATGGTCTGATTTATAATAATAAAAAGTGCTTTAACATGCACTGGTCTGTGCAGTCCCAGTGTAAAGGTCAGATCAGGTCAAACACTTCATTCTAAATTCATGGCTGAAGTAGAGATCACTGATTCATAGAGCTCGTAAATGTGACCGGGATCTCGAAGTCAAAATTGATTTCCTGAACATGATAGCATTAGTCCTGTTCCAGACCACTGGAATAGTGAAAAATCCACTCAGTGTTTAGCAAAAGCATTTCCCTTAAAAATGAAAAAAATAACATTCAGTTGTCCCACATAAGGAAGTTGCAGCATAAAAACTCAAAAATGTAAAACATAACAACAACAAAAAAAGAAAAGAAAATTGAAAATGTTAAAATTCAAATGACATCTTTAATAAGAGCCAAAGATTCTTGCTCTTTGATGAACTGCCAGTCACCTCTGTCTGTTTGTAATTATGAGACATTGTCACAAATGAAGAATACAGCAGCCACGGCACTGTACTGCTTTGACTCAGCTGGATAAAAGCCTGTAACTGTGAGGGAGGGATATACTGTACAGTACATGTGCCTTTACATTTCTCTTGCAGCTAGAGGGTGGGGAAGTGGTGGTGGGGTCTTGGCCCTCATTACCATAGCAACAGGTCTCCATGTGGAATAACAGCTGTGGTACAGAGTGTTATGGCGTTTTTGGCCCATTGCCCAGCAGCTCCCTCCCCCAGGTCTTCTTTATGTCTCGCCCTTCACTTTCTGCCCCGGTCCAACGTAAGCTGCTGCACACTGTGCGAATCTTATTACACGATGACGAACAAAACACTGGGGCCCAGGCGGCCAAAGAAGCCCTCTGATTGGCTGGTGGGAGGAGGGCCTGCTGGTGAGTGTGCACATCCAGTGAGACGTCTTACATAAGAGGCAAGGTTTCCCTTACTAGAAAGAGAACACGGAGGGAAAAAGTGAAGGCCTTGTCAGATGGCTCTTTGTTGCTTCTGTTTCAAAACACCTTCCTCCACCACCCTCCAGTGCCTCTTCCTGGAAAGCGCCATCTTTGAGACACACACATGTTCAGTCACACATATAAAGGCAGCCAAAACAAACTCTACATATGGGAATATTTCATCTCTACAAAAGATCGACATGTATTTATTCCATTTGCTTGTGTGTGTGTGTGTGTGTGCGTGCGTGTGTGTGTGTGTGCTTTAAACCTTGAAAGATAAGTTGATTTTCCAGTTATGCATTGGTCCATAGTATAGGCTATACTCACAGCTCTATAAGGTGACCTCACATTTAGAGGCAAATGTCTGCAAAAAGACACTCTGTTCCCAACAGCAGGAAAACTGAATTAGAGCCATATTTGGAACATTGCAAATCTAGTTCAAATATTGATTTTCATTTGCAATTCCGCATTTCTACCAAGGTCCTGAGAGCAAATAATGTTCCACTCTTTCACATGAACAGAAATGACATAAAATCTTGTTTAAAAAGGATTTTGACAAGTGAAATGACAAAATTACCATCAAAACCAGCTGTAATTTAAGCACATGGTGTATCCAGTTTGTATCCCTGCTAGCTGAACTAAACCTCCCTTTATATTTAGAAAGAAAAATAGAAATGCTGCTTTTATGCAATCAGACTAACATGACAAACTTTTGTAGTCATGTAAGCAAGTATGATTAAAGTACTTACAGGGATCTTCTTCATGAGGTCACGACCTTATTTAGTTTTCCCTCTGCCGTGTAAACCTGCAAAATCTTCGGAAATTAAAAATAGTATTATTTTTAGAACGTCTGCTGGGTGTGAGAGCAGATCCTGCAGTGTGAAATTATTCCTACACGGTGGAGTTATGGGGATGTGTGAAAACGCTTCTGATGCAGTTTCTGGAGATTTGTAATGAGAAAATCATATGTTTTCACACCAGCCACAGAGCACACCCGCAGATTTATTGACATACATTGACAGGGGAGAGAGGCAGTAATTAGGTGACGAGAGCTCATGTAGTGTGTGGTTGAAATGAAAGCCAGCACGCTCTTCAAACTCAGCGGCTCATGATAGAGACCGAAAGGAAAATGTGCCTCCTTTTGCTCAACGCTGAATGAAGTCAATTTTTTTGTGCGCTCAGCCGATCTGTCTGCCCTCTGTGCATACTTACTTTCTGCAGTGCAACTGCAAAACAAAACCAAACAAGGTCACCTGGAACAGCTGCAATTACTGACACAGAGAAATTGAAGAAAGGCTATGAAGCGTGTAGTGAAGGAAACTGCTGTCCTCAGGGTTACACTTTATGATCCCTTTTGATGAAGGGACTACAGCAGCTTCGGTTTAGTGCATTTATTGATGTGCTGAGTGGGACACTTTCCTCATCTGGGATGTTTATTTGCCCATTCTTCTTCTGTAGGAGATTGTGGTCCAAGTAAATAAACTGTAGCTCCATTCTGTTCATATGTCTCTGGCTTGTTTAGTTTTGTATTTGCTTTCTTGTTAATTGAAACCTACTTCTCTCAGCTAAAACAGCGAGGAAAGAATTTTGCATCAGTTTGGCACATTAGAGTCAGTTCAAACAAACCGAAACCAAGCAGTTCATCCTCAGATTTGCTTCAGTTGTGCTGCAGCTGCTGCTGATGTGTGACTCATCTTTACAATGAATGTGAAATTTAAAGGCAGTATATATACATATACTCTATATATAGCATACATTAGCACAGCCATCTGCATCAGCTCAGCTTCTTCAACACTTTCCATCACTTCTTTTATTTCCCTTATTTTCTTCAGGTCACAGATTAAACATCACATTTGTTAACTCAACTATATAATTCTTATTTTTAATCATTTCTTCTTTTGATTATTTGGAGGCCCATAAGGTCTCTGGAATTTAGCATAAATGTCCATTTTTCTTGCTTCTTTGACAGAAGCAAATGCACTTTAATCTGTGCTCAACTACATATGATGATTCTGAGTGTCATAACACTGACATTTCAGGTTGAGGAGCCCCACATTTCACCTAAGCAACTGCATTATTGCTTAAGGCAAAAATGCTTCAACCCTATATTGTAGCAGGGGAGCATTTATATCTGCATAGTAGAGTCAATCAAAGCAGGTTTGTGCTTGTGTTTTGTAAAAAAAAAAAAAAAAAAAAAAAAACCTGTGTGATGTGTTTTCTCAAATGTCCACATATGCAGATCCTAACCTTTGGATTCTTCTTTACGTCATATGATTTTGTTTGACTTTGTTTCACTTTTGGTGTGACCCTATGATTTTTGCCACACAAAGGTATTCATGGGTTATATCTCATGTCCTCAATACTCATCTCTGCAGTCAGACATGTACCAATACAAGTATCAACTTGTTCAAGAAATGCTGAAAATGCAACCAGACTTTATTATTATTATTATTATTATTATTACCTACAATTACCATAGTCAGATCAATAAAAAGGTAACATTTGAGATAAATCTGGCCATTTTATTTGTGAGGTGATTCTGCAGGTCACTGCATTTTAAGCTGTACTCCACAGAACGGCCATTAAGATCACTAAATGCACGCTCCAATGGATCTTGTTTGCCAACGGTTACACACTGCCAGGAATACTGTAAGTGATATTTAACGCTCAGCAGCTTGTATAACTGACCATTTTTATACACCTTAAAACAAAAAGGAAATGGTTTTTAAAAAAAAAACCCAAATCTATCACTTTAACTGAAGACAGATCCATGTTCAGACGATTTAAACGTTCACTTTGACTGAGAGAACATGTCGTACTCAAAATATTTGCCATGGCACGCTCTCTATCACACAGAGGGTCAAAAATGAGGCAACATTGTCCCGTGTTTTGTTTAGATAAGAGAATCTACTTGTAGGGGTTTAATCGTCTGTTGTGAAGGTGTGAAAAAAGGAAACCACAGAAACAAGCAGACGTATGTGGAAAAGTTTTAATTGTCAAAGCTTGTTGTGTAATTGAAAGGCAGACAGAACTTGCTAAGACTTTCACATAGAAACCAGTTTCCACATTTCTTTTACAGAAAGTTGAAATACAGAAAACCACCAAATGTGGCTAAATGTAAATGTGACATACAGAGTCACATTTCCCTTTTGTGACAAAATAAATCCCACAGAGTTAATGAAAAAAAAAAAAAAAGTTAACATAAAAGTGGACAGAAACATGTAGAAAAAAAAAAGTGTTAAGAAATGCTTTCACTTGATGAAGCTCCTACACATTTAACACCAACAGACAGAATAAATAATGTTATGTGGAATAAACAGAAGAACAATTCTTAAGAATTATCACTCCGCACAGCTCGAAATACAGATGCACTGTACCAGAAAAAAAATCGCCCACACAGTCTCACTTACTTGTCAGTAATTTTAGGATAGAGTTCCATCTAAAGTGCAAAAGGACACCACTTGAGTATTTGAATACCCCTCAATCCAAAGTTAATTGATTTTAGCCCCATGAGCTTTAGTCCCTGAATACTTGAATTTTGACAATCCATGGAATTTTGGCAGACAAAACCCTGACCGATTTGGATTCCTAAAGAAAAACCGGTAGAAATGCTCACAAATACACAGTGCAACATTCCCTTGATTTTTGCCCAGAAAACTGAATTTTGCTCTATTCATTAACATGCAAGTTATCCCTTTTATTTTTTGCTTTTTTTTTTTGCTTTTTAAAACCAAACAAGTTTTCACAGGCCACCTTGATATCCCTGATACTGCCAACAACCTTCCACTAACAGACTGCTCTTCACCAAAATCTATGAGCAGAAAAAGGGGAAAGAGAGCATAGGAGGAGTAGATAGACGGGAGCGGGGAGGATTGTCTTGCCCGTACTGAACTTTACATTCTGGAGGCACGATAGCTTTGTGCCTGGCAAGCAGAGCCCTTCTGATTTTACAGAGAAGTGAGAGAACGACCCCGAACAGGCCATGTTCCTCTACTCTCTTTGGTCAGTCTATACATTATGTACAAAGAACACTCGAGACTGATGTGCTCCCTCAGTTAGCGCGAGCCATGCGTGTTTCTGCACCAAAGTAGTTGAGCATTGTCTGGACGAGCTCTGGAAGATCGTAATCATGTTTCCAGCCCCAGTCTTTCCGTGCGTTGGAGTCGTCGAAGTTCATTGGCCAACTGTCAGCTGGGGAGGCACAGATAGGGGAGACAAAGAATCTCATTAAAAAAAAAAAATTCATGAGCAATAAAACACACCATTGCTAGCGAGCTGCTACACCCTTCACTTGGTGTTGTATGAACTTTAAATAGATAATGCCGAGTCACTGATATTACCGAGTCATTTTGATGACTTTACTTGAGTTCCTGTTATAACTACATTTCAGCTTGTCACAGATAACAAATTTAAAAAAAAAGAAAAAAAAAAAGAAAAAAGATGACTAACCAATTGCCTGTCTGACGGGGTCTACATCATACGTGACCTCCAGCTCGGGCATCTGCTTCTGGAGCTCCTGGGCCAGCTCCTCGGGGGTGAAGCTCATGGCATTGATGTTATAGGTCCTCATGCTCAGTGTGTCAGTTGGCGCCTCCATCACCTCCAGCGTGGCACGAAGGCAGTCGTCAATGTACATCATGGGCAGCCGCGTGTCGGGTTTCAAGTTGCACTCAAACTTTCCGCTTTTGATTGCATCGTGGAAAATCTGGACAGCGTAGTCTGGTCAGAGACAGAAAACAAATGTTATTATTGCACCAGTTTAGAAATAAGTGCAACAGTGTTTAAGTTTTTTTTTTTTTTTTTTTTTTAATATTTAACGATACTGCAGTTATGAAAAACCAGACTGATGACAACAACAGACAGAATTTGAGTGTAGACGTGGTTATGGTAGCTGTTCAGACACGTAAAAATATGGAGATAGTGCATTGAGTTATCTGCTGGCCTAAAAATACAAGCAAGTCATGACAGCTCTCTGGAATAAGTCAGTTACATAACAAACTTGTGACAGGACAGGAACAGTACAGGAATAGACATCATTAAAATTGAAACCTTGTATAAGGTCTGAATTTCATCTCTCTCACCTGTTGTACCGCCCCCAGGCATGGAGTCAGCAGAGATGATTCCTGGGTAGCGGAGACAGCGGAAATCCAGGCCGTAGCGGTGGTGGTAGTACTGTCGCAGAAAAGGAAGAAACCAGTTATTGATAAAATCCCATGTAAGATTTTCAGTGGGTTCTCAGATCTGATATCTACGCTGTCGATTATTAATATCTGAGATCTCACCTCTCCCATCAGCTCTGCATGGACTTTGGAAACACCATAGATGGTGCGAGGTCTCTGCACACAGAGATCTGGCGTAGGGTTACGGGGTGAAGTAGGACCAAAGGCACCAATGGTGCTGGGGACAAACAGACGAAGTCCGTGCTCCGCTGCGATGTCCAGGATGTTGTGAAGCCCTAAAGAAGACAAAAACACACAAACCTTCAAATTAAGATATTCCCAACTTAAACCGGTATTTAAGGGAACATTGTTGCTGTAGTGACTTGGCACTAAATTGAAATTAGAATTTCACTCACCGGTGATGTTAACGGAACGTGCCAGGGCCACGTTAGCCTCTCCAACAGCGCTGAGGAGAGCGCTGTAGTGAACAAGCCAAGTGATGCGGTTGTTCACCACAATTTCCCGCAGGTTCTTGTAGTCCAGGATGTCTGAGTAGATGAAGGGGCCTGATGGTGACAGATGATTGAAGGTTGTATAAAATCAACTGTTTGAGTCGTCTTGTATATTTATGCTTATTTAGAAGCAGGAATAAAGTTCATTACCCAGCACAGGCTTTGTCTCTATTAACTTTTTCAGGGCGAGTACCAAGTTTCTGATAGACTGCTCTTCTGTCTTTCATTATTACATCAGTTTTTCTTAAAATTAATTCAGTAATATCACTCTTAATATATTAATGTTTGTTTCTTTCACATTCATTTCTACATGTATTTTTTTCCCTCAGACTTCAGTCATGTAGATGGTTGGAGCCTGTTAACTGCTAAATTCATTACATGTTTTGACAGCTTATTACCATACACTGACAGAACAAAGTCAACACGTGTCATATTTTGATTTGGGGTAAATTTATAAAAATAACATTTTTCAGGAAAATGTGAAAATAAATGAAAACCAGTATGAACCGACTGGTGTTCCTCATTTGGTCATTTCAGACAGAGACAAAAAGGCATTTCATAACCTCTTCCTGCCCTGCATTGCCAAACACCTGAAATTTGAAATGCCTCTGGTATTAGCCCTAAGAAGAACTTTGTACTCTGTCATGTGATGAAACAAAGAGGAGGATGAACGTTCTTAACATTGTTTTTCACAAAAGCGTATGCGCAATGTAGGTAATCTGATACACCCTTGAAAATCCAACTGCCTTGAAAGCAAATATAAATATAAATGTAAATATATATATATATATATATATATATATATTGTGAAAGCGTGTGCATCTGGAACTGATGAATTTCACACGGCCAAAGTCAAGTCTAATACACCACCCTATCTGGTTTACTCACCGCTGTGGAAAACGTTGCTTGGAGGTTTTCTGATGTCAGACAGAATCACATTGTTCTTTCCAAACCTCTTCCTGTGAAGCAGGAAACCCAAGATTAGACAACTTGAAGAAATGCATCAGAAACTGTTCTCACACTGTTACAATGATATCTCACGACCCATTGTTGTTTGCAGCCTGTAAACACATGATGTGCAAGGACAAATTAGAAGTCTTACCTCAGAAGTTTGGCGAGCCCCACCCCGAGCTGACCGAGGCCACCTGCCATTAGACGGAGAGAGACAGAAACACATTAAATCAGCAGCAGCTAATAATCATCAGCACTGGTTTCCATGGAGACTGAAGTAAGTGGGCCATAAGAAAAAATGGTCATGGCACTTAACGCCTACATTTTGTTTTCAAACTGGCATCTCATTCTGCGTTCATTGCCAAACCTGTTAGGAAACCTGCTAGACTCGAGTCACTGTAAAGCTCATGACTTAACTTCACAATCCTCAATTACAGTACAGATCATTTAAAAACAATGCTGTCAGGCCTCTTTCTAAAATTAAGAAAAAAAAAAAAAAAAAAAAAGTGCTCTATTATAGTCGGCAGATGTTTACCAAAGACCCAAAAACAGATGCTGCGTACCTGTAATGAGCACCTTGGGGTGGTCTGTTTCTGAGAAGGACACAGAGTGGAAGCTGGCATCAGAAGTCACCTGTCGGGGGGAGAAGCTGATGTTGCGAACAGCCACCGTTAGGGGCTGGCAGCCACACCCAGGGGTGCTGAGCAGGGCCTGTTTGGCCACCTTGCTGAGGGTTCTGATGACAGCCATTTCGGTACCTGCAGAAAAAATAAAAAAATAAATAAAAGTGTTCACGCTTTAGGGTAGTTTCAGGGCTGACAAATTCCACTGGCATCAGCAAAATTTAGAGCTATTTTTCTTTAAGAGCAGAAGACTTCTTGTTTCATACGAAAGGAGTCCCACCAGTTTATTGAAAACCACTTTGGAGCTGACATTTGAATATGAGACTGCCATCATCTGGTGGCCCCTTTCACTGTATTTTTTGGCCAAAGCATGAAGATCTGTGTCAATAGATTTGGGCTCCTCTCCAAACCCCAGGCGCCAAGAGACACGGAGGATAGACTGCAAAACTGGGAGTGTGGAAACGACTTCATTTACGACCCTTTTTCTATCTACAGAAAAATGGTGAAAACAGCATGAGAGGCAACAAAAAGTGTCAGCAGGGAAGACACGTAGGCTTCAGTCTGATGCAAATGACAGGCTATTGTTTTCCATATAGGCACAGCGGAGCCTCAAGCGCATAGCAACACAAAGACTTTATCCTCCGCCTTTCACTCAGTGTCTGGTTACAAAACTTTAACTGGACAATGCTGAAGACGTCTCACGTGCTGGAGACGCACAGGACTGTACAGAACACATGGAACATGAAGGCAGCAGACTGAGAGCAGCTCTCTAAACTATATTACTAGTTCCATAAAAGACGTTAACCGTGAATTATAAGTTTATTCTAGTCTATCCGTGTTTCTCCATTTGTCCATCACTGAACCGCCCCAACCTCTGTGCAACACATCTACTCAAAAGTGAACTTACCGAAAGAGCAGGGAGCTTCCAAAAAAAAAGGAAGGAATGGAATAAGTTGAGTGTATTTATACTGCCCTGCCTTCAACGAGAACCAATCAGGAGGAGAGGGCGTACAGTGCCACACAGCAGCAGACGACAACAGTGTCAAGATCAGGTCGATAATGACGGTAACGGATTTGGAAATATTTTAGCAAATGAACTGAGTGATCTATATCTTGAAAAAAAAGCCCCCCCCCCCCCAAAAAAAAAAAAACAAGTACATCATAATTTATGCTATATCTAAATACAGCATCTATGTTATTATAGAGAAAAAATATACATTAATGTAAAACTTGACAATTTTGCACGAAAAAGCCGTGTGATTCTTATCCATCATATATGTGGCACTGACCCCTCGCCACGCTCACAGCATGTGCTGATCACTGTTGTGCCAACACGCTTTTACGTGCACACCACGTAAGCAGGTTGAATAACAGGGGGATCAGAACTACTCCCCCTTTGCTGGTGCGGCGTGTCAACGTGGATGTTTTTTTTTTTTATTAAATAAATGTCTATAATTTAGTTCCTTGATGACAGGGTCGCTGGTCTCCATTTAGCTTTGCTGATTTTCCATATGATGAAAACGTTTAATTAAGAGGCTGAAAAAATCCTGAATGACTGAGAACCATCGGCAGATAGAACATATTCAAGAGAGGAGGCCTGTGGTTGGCACTCAGCCATCCAGACTAATGGAACCAGGCCAGTGCGCCGGAGTGAAGCTGTCTTGGCACAACACGTCACTGTTAGACTATAGCATTTAGGAGGGATCTTTGCCTATGCTATAAAAAAAGGGGTCGCAGGAGCAGCACGTGTTCACAGTAGGCTAAATAAATATTGTACATATTGATAAATGAAACTAAAACATTAATTGATTTTTAGTCTCCACGTGCGCGCGGACTAATACAGGAAATATAACGGTTTACTCACCGGTTGCTATAAAGGAGTAAAAGCAGACAAAAAATCCTGTCTGACTGGCTCTATGAGAATGAGATGCAGTTTCCTCTTCTGAGCTGATCCTGTGGCCTGCAGCTTCTCTGACCTGATGTCTGTGTTATCTCCGTCCAGTGTTGCATCAGCTGCGTCTTCTAGCTATATATCAGCGGCCATCTGGTTTCAGGGGAAGCCGGCTTTCTCTCGGATTGGTGGAGGCTCGGAGGTGCGGTCCTCCCTCACAGACCACTCCCACAGAGCGTCACCGACACCCAGCACCCACCACCCTGCAGCCCTGCTCATCCCGGCTCGGCTCAGCTCAGCCAGGCTGCAAAGACTGTGAATGCGTCCATTCACTCCCGGTAAAATCTAAGACCACCAGTAGGGTTTTACGTGGTCTCCAAATAACTGACCCTACACACATCCGTGGAGCCACATGACCATGTTGCCTGGCTCTGTGTGTCGACAGTGTAAGTCTTAAGGTGTAGGGAAAACAAAAAAGTGGAAAACAAGCTGATGTCGATTAATCGATTAATCATATGTATTTAAAATGCCATAAAATAGTAAAACGTGTAGACCAGAGCTTATTTAATATATATATTCTTTAAATCTTTTATTTATAGTCAATATCACCGTTCACCTTTTCACATTTTGTTATGTTGCAGCCTTATGCTAATATCATTTAAATTATTTTTTTCTTGAAATTTAGCTAAGTTCTTGTTTTCATGTCTGAGATGTTTCTACACTTCTATTGGAGTCTTGAGGTGAAAAAAGAGAGACTTTTCTATTTTAATATAAGGCTGCCACATTACAAAATGTGAAATAATTGAAAAGGTTTGAATACTTTGCAAAAGCACTGTATGTATATTTAAGTACAATATATTAAGTCACAGTTTATGTCTAAAAATGTCTAAAATGTAACTGAATCAAATATATGTTGGGTTTAACAACTAAGCATTAGATGAAGCCAGAAGAAGAGTGAATATCCATCCAGAGATGGCTTGCAACCTGCAGGGTATGAGGTGCTACAAGTCCCCAGTCTTTAAAACATTCAGGCCCATAACTCTGTTCTCTAGCATCTCCATTTCATCACATTTCTGATGCAGCATTTTCCACAAAAGATTGACAGATTTGTTTTCTTTAAATTTTGAATCTGATACAAGATTCTATGGATTTGAGCTGCACAGTTTATAGTTAACCTTTGCATTGATGGGTTAGTGGGGTTTTTATTTCCCTTTCTATCTCCTGTTAGTTTAGTGTTGATATTTGTTTGACAACAGAATATTACTGTGGCAAAATCCCACCACAGTGAAACAGAAGAGCTTCATGTTCTCAAGCAGATCATCAAAAACAAATAGGACCCACTGAAACAAACGAGCTCACGTGTTTCTAAATACTCCAAGGCCTATACAAATACTGAGACAAGTTGATGAGTAATTTAAATGTAGCTGGACTCCACATGAAGCAAAACAAAGGACAAACCTGATGCAGCATTGTAATCAAACACTAATGATTAGATAATTAAATCATTGTGCCCACGCTGCAGGTTTCTGTGACCTGGCATTGAAAGGGAAACTCTACAGCCTCTTTGATTTGAATGTAACAGAATCCATTCATGTTTTCTGGTGGCCTAGGTGAAGGTATGATGTGAACATGTACACACTCTGTTTGACTTTGAGGTTTGTTTGCATTAGATAGAGGAGGTCCACAGAGGTTGAGGAGTGTCTCTGAGTGGAGCAAGCAAAGGGTGGGCTTAAGATCTGTGCCGGCGTGTGAGTGGTGGACAGGAGCACACCCCCCCTCGCCTGTCATCACAGGGAAGGAAATGACTAACGCAAAAACAAGTTAATCTGCAAACTGACACACTTTTTCTAAAAACAAAACCGGGATATCTTCGAGGGAAAACTATGATCACAATCCGTTTATGAAAATCACCATTGTTTTGCCTGAGATAGATGATGATTTGATAACCCAGGTCCTCTATTCTTCACTCCCAGCCATCATGAGAGGAAAACGACACCTGATAACTGTGAGATGACACTGATTTCTCACTCAATGTGCCAATTGAAAAGGCATGAAAAGTTTTAGGAAATTCAATACTATTATTCCAGAAAGTAACACAAACCCTCATTTTTTTTCAACCCTATCAAGGTTTCCTCAGGTGAGTAAATCAAAGTTTTCGGCTGTGATAAGGCCACAAGAATGTGGAGAGAAGAGTAACGACTGAACGGTAGCACTGTAAACACTGGCTGCCATCACATGCCTCCATGAGGCAGCTGATCTTGGGCTATTTATTCCTCAGTCACCTCATCAGATGATGGTTTCGTCACAACCATGGTAATATATTTTGTGAGGAGGCTGGGGTGCTGTTTACCAATCTCTGGACAAGCTTTATGGGGTAAAGGAAAATTGAATTCTATGTCCTGTCGTCACCGGGCAGTGACGGACATGACGCCTTTCACATCACATAGTTATTTGATCCACCTAATCTAATCATGTCTTTATACTCAATGAAGTTTTAAGACAAGAGGGAAAAAACAGGTGATTTAAAGTTATACAAATCTTGCTTTGAGAACAAAAACTCACTGAATAATTACAAAATCAAACAACTTTTGTGCTATAATTTTTAATGCCTTGAAAACTTTAAAAAAAAAAATGTAATCATTTGAACGATAATATAATTTACAGACAAAAAACGTAAATGTTTATTTTTCAATTCTGATTTTACAGTAAGGCTTTGCACAAAGTTGAAAAGTGCAACGACAACAACAGAGAAAAACGTTGTCAACAGTGCTGATAATCTTTTAAGAGTTTTGTTGACTGTTTTGACAAAGCGACAAGCATTTGAGGAAGATGAACGCAAGACATTTTCATCATCATAAAATCATACTATTACTTGGTGAAACTCATTGTTCCATTCATGCACACACAAAGCATCAAGGTGAGGTGTCTCTTTTTGGCTGAAGGAAACAATGTACATAGTGCAGGCATGAAATATACATGTAAACATTCCCTTTACAAAGCAGTTCACTGTAGTGGCTGGAGTCAATTCTGTTTAGTGTGATTAATACATTATTCATTCTTGAAGCAAAATCTATGAAATGTAAGAAGATAACATGGAAATTAGTCAATGAAAATATATTTTATTACTGGCAAAACAAATAAAAATTGCCAATGATGAACACTGCTGATTGAATTTTACCCCAAGACTGCATTTACAGTGCAGCATAAAGTTTTCTTTATAGTATTAGGCTAATTGAAGCTAACTTTACCCATGGACAATGGTGAAAGATGAGCTTTAATTTAGCTGAAACTGTTTTAAACATAGTTAGTTGCAACTAATTAGAGGTTTAGAAACCACCAACACCAACAATGTTTTGACGTGGCTTTCCTGACCACTGCTTTTCTATGATGAGTCCAAGGTTGGTGGAGAGTTTTTTTGTTGTGCTCAGACATTGAGTAAATGCAAGTTTGAGTTTCATTAGTTGGATCTAATATATTGGTTTTTCACATTTAATATTAAGACATCTTTTGTCTATCCCGGCAACCACTTGGTGAGCACTAAAAAGAAAGAACGCTAATTACAACAATTATAATTAGAAGAGTATGTTTCTGATATTGTGGTACAATGGCTTCGCACATATTTACACATAAAGTAATTGAAATGCCTTTCACACAAAGTGCATTAGTTTAGAATGTTATACCACATAACAGCAGATGTGCATTTTGAATCATAATGTATTTGAACACGACATTATATAACTTTAGTTACCAAAATATACATTGGTCTTTAAAGCAGTTTCTCACATTAAGCTGTTGCCATAACGATGACAACAAGACCCTCAGCATCATCATTACATTTTTTCCACATCATGCTCTTAGATACTTTTTAACAGTTTACTATTATGCATAATAAGATTTGAAAAGCTGATGGATATTATTGTTTAATGAGGTTTCATCATACATTATATTATAAATCTTTTGTGTAATCTATGGCCATGCTATTAACTGGAATGTCAAGTAATGATCTGACAAACATACCAATAATCAGGATATTTTGGTCAGAATCGTATTAAAGAATTGAACAGTACAGTAGGTTCTGACCCTACCTACGCATATTATATCATCTCAGCGTGCAGCAGAGTCACATGCTGCCCTATAGCACCCTATAAGTTGCCATAGTTACTCCTCAGTGCTTCAGCTGCGTATACATTCGGCAGTATGTTTGGTGAATATGTGCATCCTGTAGTACGTGAACGTCTACACACCGTTTCTCTCCAACTGTCCTTCAGATGCCCCCGTATCTCCTTCCTCCGCAACATGAATGCCCACAATTACACAGGGGAGTCCAACGTGTAGTTTTTGGGAGAAAATGGCCTAACCCACTCAATGTTAAGATATCGGTTTGACTTAGTGACTGTGACATTAGCTGACAGCATCATTCAGGAAAACGAAGCTGTTTTCTGTACATACACCTCTGCTTGCTCACTCTTATCTGAGGCCTGTGAGATGAAGGATTGTTTGGCTTTTAGCAGCACTCTCTGAGAAATAACTGGCTGTGTTTTTTTTATTGTTTTTTTTTTCTTTGTTTCTACACGTTTCCCTCTCACTCCTGCCTAGTTCCAATGAGACAATTAAGTCATGTTGGCTATGTAAAGAATAACTGCATTCAAGCAAAATCAAAGAGGTTGATTTTGATGTTGATGTAGGCATAGGCCCAATTTCAATTCGCTTTTCATCTGTACAGAAATCAAAATATATATTAAAAAAATGAAAACAATTAACGGCTAATGAAGCTTAAAACTAGGCTGATACTGATCTGTTTTTATATTTAGTTATATTTCTAAATTTTTCTACCTCTTTCTCTCATCTTGCCTCCTTTCGCAGCTCCACCCTCTCTCCCTATGGTGTTTGCAGCAGGGGATCTTCGGTTTCCAGCTGGGCCAGCTGCCTGCGTAGGCTGTTTACTTTGTTCTGTAGCTCCTTGTTGTATTCAATTATATGTACCATTTCCTCATAGGCTTCATCCAAGCACTTGGAGGAGCGGTTCCAGCGAAGGAACACTCCTGTAATAGAAGAAGAGTACTCATGAAAGAAGGACATAGCACAAGGAAGTGGCTTCTCTGTTTACTGTTCTGTTCTGAACACGACACCGCACAGTAGTGTTTGTGCAGTTCATGCACGAGAAAATATGGAGCTTTCACACGCAACATATAGAGTTTACACAACATATTAATAAAAACAAACCAGAGCACTGATTGTGTAAATTGCTCTCACATGGATTGGGTATTTTGTCAGAGGATCGTGTGGAGCTGGTGTTCTGGAAAGACAAGTGTGACCACAGAGATGTGCTGTATGTCTGGCATGTACGACACAGTGAAGATTTGACTCGTCTGTCATAATAAGAGCAAGTGTATCAAATGACTGGAGCTTCTTCAAATCAAAGCTCTGTGACAGGACAGTGAAACGCCTGTATATAACAGGTATTTACTGTGCATGCATATGGCTACAATGTCCCTTATGTCACTCGTTATTGAAATCTCAATTATTTTGTCACATTATTTATTTATATTTATATATCAGGCAAAAGAGTCTCTCCAAATCCACAACAGAAATAAAAAAAAAAAGATAAATCAAATCCAGTGAAGTTTGATTATGAACGATGGATGATACTGAGATGGCGATTATTAATTACAGACCAAATGTCCAGCCCTAATAGTTGACTGTTCTAGATTTTGTGCCTGCAAATTAGAAATGAAATGTTTCTGATGCCAGGTCAGTAGGAACAAAATGTATCTGTGTGCCTGGATGGCATGAATAGCATGACATGGGGGAGGGGGCTGGGGGAGGATGCGTGTCCCTATATGACGCAGACATTACTGGAAGGATTACACAGTAAATAGTAGGGTATAAAAAACTCCATCTTAAGTTTCCCATCACTAGAGCATGGAACCTTTACCGTGCTGCTCTGCATTGGTGTAAAAACTCATAAAACACAGCAACTTACACGTGTCACACATTCACAGCGGAATTTATTTTCTGTATTCCTACCGAGGGAACCTACCTAGTGTGAGGACAGGAGGTGTGCCTTCAGTACGGCACAGACATTTCAGGGGTATGTTTCTGGAATTGTATAAAGGTTTCTGGTACAAGCCATCAGTCCTGATTAGTGTCAACAGCTAGAGATTTTGACTTCCATGGGGTCTGTGAAGTCAGTCCAGGCATGTGTGTCATTCTCTATGAAAGAGCTGTGTAAGCAGGTTGTCTGCTGCATTTCATGTGCTTCAGTCAGCTCTCATATGTTCCACTTCATATAGAGTGAGGGTGTAGCTCTAAGGCTTTAGGCAGGAAGGGGGGCCCCCCTCACACATAAACGACTGAACCTGATGACCTCTTATCTGTCTAGACCCCCTCCCCCCTTTTTTCTTTATGAATGAATGCCCTTCGCTTTTAGCTGATATGCAATTCAGCTTCTTGTAGATCTAGTGTAGATGGGACTTTTCTGGAATGTCAATGAATCCATAATTATTATTATTATTATCCATATATTATTATTTAAACAATTTCCACGAAAAAAAAAAAAATTCTTACCCATTATTAAATTGTACTGGGAAAACCCCTCACACATTCCAAACCAAGCTCCTTAATACAGATCAGAAAGTCATGATATTCATAGACTTCCAGCAGTGGATACTTGGGGTTGGATCTAAATAATTCCCTGTAATCCTTGATTTACAATGACCATGAGTTACAAGAAAACAATGTGAAGTCTTTCGAGTGGCTCTGCTTAGAAAAGTCAGCAGCCTGATACACTCTCAGTCTCACACTGGTACATGGAGATACAGGTTTTTTGCTCAAGGGCACCTCAAAGGAGGCTGCTGAGAGAGAGAAGAGCAGCATGCATTTAAATTGCCCACACAGATTCTCTTAAGCACCATGGAAACATCACTGCCCGTTTTGTTTACTACCATTAGGTAATTAACACAGTTTATTCACAGTAACAATGCCTTGATATATAAGCCTGAAATGTACATATATACTATGTGAGAATGTTACCGCAGACAAGTATAAAGTGTGCCACGCATATGACTGCAAACTGATGACTTGTAGTGAACCGTCACTGTCACTGTCCAGTGCCAGGGAGTTCAGGTGTCAGCAAGGATATCTTCTGTGCAGTCTATAATAAGACAAACACGCTGGACAGACACATCACTGACGTGTCTGAGAGTCAATCTGAGCAACGTTGAAAATGTAAAACGCTGAAAGCCAGATGAGGGGAAAAAGTCATGTGAGCTAAACGGCCACATGCGGTCTTTGACCTCTTCGTGTAACGCAGTCAACGTGATGGGATATCAGAAGTGGACGTTCTCAACTGAGAGAGGCTGGAAAATGCTCAGGTGTGTTTGTACAGTATTTTGGAACAAACTAACAATTATTTTAATTAAGAATTAATTTACCAATTAACTAATTGTCTGATTCTTCAGTCTGTTGCACGTCAGAAAAATTGAACAGAAATTGCATTCGTATTTCTGACCAATTTCATCTCTAGTTCACTGTATTAAATGTTGATCTTTACAGAGTGTGGCATTTTGTGTGTTGGCATGCTGTGTTGTATATTGTATCTCAAATGGTTTGCTGTTGCGCTGACCAATTTCTCTTTAAAATAAAATGCATTCATGTTTTTATTTAACTTTGAACATATACAGGGCCAAATGTAAATGTAAAAATGCTGATCAGTTTCCCATGCTACAATATTTTCTAGAAATTCACAGGGTCACCAAGTTTATCAGTGGTGCACATGGTGAAATGAATGGTGCCCTCTTCTGGTGAGAGTTCAGAATGTCTGTCTGAGCAAAAATGTAAACACAGATGAGACGATGAGCAGTTTGTGGCAGTGTACCTGTGATTATGACAGCAATTTTCCCACCCATTAATACTGGCAGTTTTAAAGGTTAGTAATGTGTATTAGCTACTCACTTACTCAGTTCTTGGTTCAGGTTTGAGCCTGTCTTCAGTACAAGCATCATGAGAACTATCGTGTCATGGTGTAAGTACTCAGCATCTGGTTTCATTAGTTAATTCATAGAAGCAGGATTTCAGTCTCAAATAACAATGTCAGAATTACTACCAGTAGTTCAGTCTGCCACTCTGCTCTGGCAAAAAAATTTACCACATAAAGCAACAGGTCTACAGTTATTCTAAAACTTATGATGATATACAGTATAAATCACTCTAAAGTTTAAACATGCAAAAGTGACAGTAGTTGAAATTGTGTGGTCTGTGAATTTAATTTAGACAATATACAATACTCTTAGTGTGACTCGGAATTATACCTTTATCATGAGCAACCCTGGCCCTCTTTTGTTAACGGTTCCATCTAAAAAAGTTATACTCCAACCTATTTTTAAATCCAGTTAAGTTCACTTACTACTTGCTGCTAGGTTTTTTAAACCTATGTGTGTATTTTCACTCGTAGGTCTGCACATTTATCTATTATATCTATGATATCAAAGAATGATTGTGATAAGTAGTTTACATTTGTAGGGCCCCTACAGCACATAATCTCATTGCACTTGCATCGTCTTTTAACTTAAATAGATGAAGTACTTAGCACTTACGCCGAGGTCTCCTACTGCACTGAGGCCTCAAGTTGCTTTGGATAAAAGCATCTGCCAAATGAGTAAGTGTAAAATGTAAATGTAAATCTTACCTTCCCATAGCAGCAGACTCTGAGGGGCCACAGAGGGCCAGATCACGAGACTGTTGGCCTCGTAGAGCGGGTTGGTCAGACGCTCCAGCTCCTGGGGCCGATTCACCCACGACCAAAGGGACACAGTCTTCTCAGGCAGAGACAGTTTGGCTCTATGAAAAGTGTAAGAGGGTGTTCTGTTAACCAATAAGAACAGTTTATAACAGTGGACTGTGACCTATACAATGACAGATCCGGGGATGAATAAGGAAAATCAAGTTGGAATAAATGTTCTCCTTTCCCTCAAAACCCATGTGAAACAAAAGAAATAGCATATGGTTGACATACTGTTAGCTGACAAAGCTCAGTAAACTTCGGACTTACCTCTCGGCTGCACTGTTGCCCAGGAAAGTACCAAACTGAGAGGCATAGGCGTGTTCGAAGAGCAGCACCAGGAAGCTCTCGCTGAATTCAAAGGAGCAGGGAAACTGGCGAAGGATCTGCCACACACAATCCAAGAAGAGCAGGAAGACAGGAGCCTCTTGGCGAGGTTTGCTATTGGAGTAAGCTGACTGGGCACAGCGCTGCTGGAATGGGTGACCCGCCTGGGTAGGTGGTTGAAGAGGTCAGAGGGGTTATGAGAAGAAATGCAAAAACCATTAAAACAATTAAAAGACTGAGTGAGATTTTTTTTTTTTTTTAAAAGGCATATCTTTTTATATAATTTTCAGTAATTAATTTTATCAAAAAGATGACAAAGATTTGGGCTGCACTTCAAAGCACAGAGAAGCTCACCTGGAGCCACTCTCGCTCCACCAGGCCCTGGAAGCCTCTGATGGTCCGGCAGGCTGGATCAAGGATGATCTGAGCCAAGGAGGTCACTTGCAGGGTGGAGTCTGTCCCTTCTGTACCGTGAACAAGCACTGATGCGCCCTCCCTGAGAAAAATACACAATATAGTTTCTCAAAGTGTCACTTGCTCTTCTAGTATTTATAAGAAAACAACACAGACTCAGTGCTGAACACTGTGATTTTCTCAGTTCACTGAGAAGCAGCAGAAGAATAGTGAAAATATTTTCCATATTGTTTGGTATTTACTGGTCCAGGATTTGCATAAAAAGCAAATCAAACTTAGTTCTCTGACCTGTCGATACACTGGGCAGCCAGACAGGCAGTGGTGAGGATCTCCTTGACATGAGTCTGCCAGCTGGAAGCCTCCAGCTTGCTTAACCAGCGGTCCATGCTGTGTGACTGGTCATTACACGCCTCCACCAGCTTAATCAGGCTCTCCTGGAGGACATTAGCCCTGGAAATGACAGTTATGTCACAATACTAAAAGAAATGTCTGAATTCTTCGTAAATATTGAATATAAATTTCAGTCATATGAAGATATGTTGAAATATCCAAAAGTATCCAATTTCCTTAAAATAACTCAGTGCTCAGATTAGTTACTAGTCTATGGAGCCACCTGATTGCCCACCTTTCAATGGCCTTGTGGATTCTCCTCCACTGGGGGTAATTAGCCTCAGACTCAAATCCTCCACCTCGAGCTTTGGCCTGCTGGGCAACATTGATAGTGCGTGTGTCAATGACGTAGCCACGTTTGCCCGGACGCAGGGTGGCATTGATCAGCTTCTCATCTTCCTTACACCGTCGCCCATTGGTTCCAGGCAGAGGCTGTCCTGCTCGCATCATCACCTGAAAGTATTAGTGATTTGAGGTACAGACAGTACAAGCAGCCATCAACTGAAATCCCCAAAGAATATATTTGCAACAGAAACAGTCAGAATCATATAAACTCCATTTCCTTCTGCTTACCATGCCATTCTTTTTGTGGTAATAGCTGAGTACTGGAAAACGACCACTGTGACGGAAAGCTGCTACTTTTCTCAGTGTGTCATCATCAACATCTTTAGGCACTGCCACTAGAGGGGGGTATGACGCACACACACTGAAGTCCTTGTTTACTTCACTCAGTCTCCACTCATCAGTCTGATAAAAAGGGATGGTGGCAGGTTAAAAGACAGTTACTGAGCAAGTACAAAAGAGGACTGAGAGAATGTAAGTGTGAAAGCGTTTGTCAGAAAGCATAAAACATACCATAGACTCCAGATCTTTAAAAGCATCCTCTGGAAGGAAAGAATTCCAGCCATCTTCTATGACCTCAAACATGGGCCGGTAGAAGAAAGGGTACATCAAGGAGACTGAATCAAGTGTGGACAGAGCCTAAAGGCATAAAGTGTACGCATTAGTTAATTATCCCTGACAATAATAATATCAAAAGTGAACATTTAGCAGTTAACAAAAGTTACAAGAAGTCTCTGCTGCCTATTGTTTTTACCTCAACAGAGCTGGCAATGTTGAGACACTCCTCCATACCAGGGATATCCAGCTGGATCACCCTCAGGTCTTTGCATTTGACAATGATGCTTCCTACAGACCCTACAAATCTGAAAGACAAGTTGAAGTTTTGATTTAAATGGTAAACACAGTACTGAGGATGTGAACACCATGGGAGAGACACCAAGGCTCAGTGTTGACACCACTGCCTCGAAACAAGACAGCACCTGGTGCGAAACCCTTTGGGACTAACTTTCTGCGTGGAGTTTGCATGTTCTCTCAATGTTGTGTTTTCTGGTGGTGCTCTGGGTTACCCCACACTAAAGGACATGCATGTTAACTATTAGGGACACTTCATTTAAACAGTCTTTAATTATCAAGTGGACTTGCTAAAAACTCCACAATGTTGTGTCATTACAAATATTATAACCAGGGGAATCCAGTAAACAGTTGTGTGAAGACGACAGTGCATTCAGGTGAGATCACCAGTTTGCTTGAATGTTTTTTTTACAGTCAACATTTAATGCTCAACGCGGTTTACAGCTCTGCACCCTCCTCAACCACATAAACTCAATTCTCAACCTGTGTCACTGCAAAGAAAGCCCACTGAAACTTCTTAAACTTCCTGTCACAAGTTTCATGTCCTCTTTCCAGAGTAAAAATGAGGGTACAAATACAAAAAAACAGCAGCAGTGAAATGCTGAGGTCTGGTAAATGTAATATGAAGAATTGCACTGAAAAGACACATGTAACCACAGCAAAAAACAACTGTACTTTCACTCTTGTGTTTCCTTCCTTTGCCTCTTTTTTTATATAATGTTTTTTATCAAGAAGTCACACAATGCAAAAATACACTAAATAATGTCCTTCCTTCCATGTCCATCCTTTTCAAGTGACAGGATCTTTTTAAGCACAACTAATGGAACAGTGACAGTGACATTGCCTGAACAAAAGATTAAGGACAAATATGTCCCCATAACAGTTAATTAGAAGCTCATCACCTCTTCTCTATAGAGTCTATGTTTGAATGAAGCAGCCAAAGCTCTTCCGTGTTGTCCTGTCTGGACGAAAGAATGAGATGATGACCAGTCAAACACAGGGTCCCCTCTACAGTTGGCATAAAAGGCCGGTGCAGGACAACCCCATCCACCCTGGGTGTCTTTATCAGCTCTGCAAACTCCATGACCTGAAGAACAGACAGCAAAGATACAGGTTTTTCTAACACATATGGTAAATTAGCCGATAAACTACGGTTACTTCTGCTGAGACAGACGAACCAAGCCCTTCTGTGCTGCTTTTAAAGAAAGATATAATGCCAGTCAATTTATATGTCAATTTATATAAAATCAGTAAAAGCAAAAATCATCTGTGAGCTAGCCACAGTTAGCTTGACCCAGGAAATGAAGCGGCTAACGTTAGCTAGCAAGCTAATCGTGACAGAGAAGGAACATTAGCCATAGGGGAATTGTCCGTCATTTTTAAAGTTTCATCAAAATGTTAACATCATGTGCACTGTTCATGTACAACACAAAAATGTACGTTTTCGTTGGTATTAAAATAATTAATCTTGCAATTACCTTATTATCTTTTCGTTTATTTTGTTGTTGGGCGAGACTGGTACGTTCACAAAAACACGCCGGCTGGAAACAACTGACGTGGTGTTCGGTCCAGGACAATTTGGATAGAAAATAAACGAAAAATAGTAATTTAATAGTAATTTCTTATTTGTTTTAATGTTTATAACGTTTAGTTTATAACGTTAACAGGTGGCTCAATGGGGAAAAATTAATGAATGTTTAGAAAATGGGTTAATCTCAAGCACTAATATAGTCATATCTAGGAGTAGATGATTAATGAAATCACATTGGCATTTATTTATTCATTTATTTTATCAAATGAAAACTGACACACATTTTCACCTCTTTGTTGGATATGTGTATACGTGTGTGTATTTAAAAAAAAATCTTATCCATCACCTGTTGTATGAAACTTGAAATAATATTTAAAAAAAAGGAAAAAAAAAGACACTAGGTGGAGACATTGGAGCATTTTTGAGAGATGTGTTGACTGGACTGCATGGATCTATAATTCAATATCACCTTGATTTAACGCCTGGATGATCATGAGAAATAAATGTTTGTCTTGGCCAGGTAAAGGAACTTGTACAGGTCTTATTATTACATAACATAACATGTCAGAGATTGTTAGAGGAGTAAACAGGATCCTGCCTTGTAAGGACAGACTGTTAGATTAAGACTAAGCCTGAGTTAAGCCTAAAGTGCACTTTCTGCATCATAGACACTGAGTGAATAAACAAGGAAAATAGAAAGCCACACAGACTCATACACACAGGTATAGTAAGTGGAGATAATTGAGATTTAAAGATCATAACAGAGCCAGCTTCCCTAATAGCAGCTGGGAGTTTATTCTTAAAAAGCGAAGTGCAGCAGGAAAAAGCTGTTGCCTGAGGACTATGTTATAGTTGTGGGGATAGATACCTAGTGAGATCTAAAAGCACATAAAGGAACACACACTAACCTTGAATGGGAGACTCCCTAAAGAGGTGAACACATTTGGAGAGAGAATAAGAAGAAGAAGAGCAGATGGTTCGGCGGAGGCTATAGTGTGTCTGTTTGATTTAGACACATATTTGTCAGGACAGTGTGTGTGTGTGTGTGTGTGTGTGCGTGTGTGCGTGTGTGCGTGTGTGCGTGTGTGTGCGTGCGTGTGTGTGTGTGTGCGCGCGCGTGTGTGTGTGTGAGTATGTGTGTATCTGTGATGTATTGCAAATCAGCACCGTACTTGCTTCAGTTGCAGCCTGTCTGGGCTTCACAATAGATGGTTTGCTTTGGGCCCTTCCAGCCCACATCATAGGGAAGGCTGTATAGATGCCAGAGCTCAATTGAATGTGAAAGCCAGCGTTGCTTTACAAACCAAATAGATGCCCTTCTTCCTTCTTCTGAGGAAAATATGCTTTGCTATGGGTTTTTTTTTTAACAAGACGAGGTGATAAAAAAAAAAGCTTTCAAAGCAAATATTCACTTGACAGCCCTACGCAGAAAACAACAGAGTAACCTAACTTCTATGTTTTATTTAACAGGATGCTTAGACAAATGTTCTGGTGCTGGAGGAGATGTTTTTCTTTAGCATCTGTTATAAAAAAAGGTTCAGTTGTAAAAATGTTAACTTTTATGGCAGCAGCTGAATGTTAAAAGAGATAAAACTGGAAACGCATTTAGCTCTCTGTGTCTTGGAGGAATGTAGGGAAAAATATTATTAAACTTGTCAAACAGAAATCTACATTTTCCTTTATAAATGGACCAAGATGAGTAACTACAACTGGTAACTGTCAAACTGTGATCAAGTTATCACTGAGTTTCCAAATCTGTCTTGAGTGAGCTGTATGCTCAGCGCTCGCTGGCGTCACATCATAGATCAGATTTTGACATTTATTGACAAGTTCGGAACATTTTGCTGCATCAAACTTTAGGGACTGACAGTTTGTACCAACACCTACACCATTACTCACTCCCAGTATTTCGTTCAATTTCTAATAAAGACAATGTCTCATCCATGATTCATTCTCGTCCTTGAACCCTCTGTTCTCAATGCTTGTTGTTTGTTTGAATTCCTATTTATGTGATGATGTTTCGTTATTTTTGGGCATGTCCAGTGAATCAGAGCAGTCTGTCATGGCAGATAATGATGACTTAAACGTGGGTGCAGAGACTTATACCAAAATTTGTTGTGCAACTCTTTGAGAAACTTTCTGATTTCGCTCCATCTGTAGTCTCACTGCCTCTGAAAATTTGGAAATTTATTTCATATCTTATCAATCTGATTAAATAAATAGTAGAGCAATAAATTTCTCCATTATCCTGTGAAGCTTTTTTTTTTGGTTGAGATTTTTATTTAAATGTAGCTGTATTGGTTGTCGTAATGTTTCCAGTGTTCAGTTGAAGGTATTGCATGCCAGGTTTGCTCAGTCATGTCTGTCACATGAAAGAGTTTTGCACTGACACATTCACATCTACAGCTGCAGTTACCACCTCGCACCCCAAAGGGGAAAAACTGTGAAAAAGTGAAAAAGCTCCTGATGGATTCATCGCTAATTACATTCTTTGCATTATTTAGCATGTATAGCTCATGCTACATACTGCTGTAAATTGGGTAACCCATAGCAATATGCGTGCCTATTTGCTCTCATTAAATTTTCATATGTTTGGAGAGCCGGTTTCTTTTCATTTCTTTTCCTTGTTTTTCTTTCTTCCTCTATTTCTTTTTCCAAACTGAGATCATTTAATGAAATATAGTTACACACCAAAACAGGCACCAACTGTATCTGTAGCCTTAGGTTTTCACATTCAAACAAAAGAACTGGGATAAAATTAGTGACAACCAGTTAGCCCTGTTGTTAGGGATAGCTAACAGCGATAATACATTGTTAAATATTTGTAGTATCAAGTAACTCCAGCATTATAGAGGTTTTTCTCAGCAGACAAGCTGGTAGCTTTTCAAAAGGGTTAGTTTATACTCACTTGCAATATATTCCCTCAGAACTCATCATGAAATTAAAATCATACAATATTTTATTGTCAGTATGGCCTATTTTGCTTGAAGGGGAGACACACAACTTTTGGGCACCCTCAATTTGTTGCACTGCTTTTATGAATTGCTGTAAACTGTGTTAACTCACTCTGTTAACTCATTGTGAACTGTGGTGACTCCAACACACTGGTAAGCCTCAGCAGCAGGAGTGGGGGAAAAAAACTAATAGACTTGACATTAGCTTTTCATTGCCACTTGTATTGATTACACCTCAAAACATAAAATAGCCTTGCCCACAATGCATAATTGATTTACTCTGCCTGAACATTTTGCTCACGGTATCTAGGACTTACATTTGAAGTACAGCTTGTTAGAGGCTACACTGTTCGTCCCCCTGTAGATTCCTTGTCCATAGGTGGGAATCACCCCCCACCCATCCAGCTTTCATTCTGATCACTTCATCAAGGGGCTGCTGAGTTTTTCTTGCTACTCCTTCCTTGTATTCTTTTTAAGTCTGCTTTAATGTTCATCCACTTTCTTTGTCTCCCTCTCACACACATTGGGCCTATTATTTGTTTCTCTTCTGTTTAAAAAGCCTGTTTGTTGCCCTGTAATACTGCCTGTGACAAATTGGTTAAAAAATGCTTTGTAATTTCAATTGATGTCATCTGATTTGATTGTTTTTATTGCTGCAGGGCTTGTCTGAATTAAACTGCCTACCATCTCCTGTGAACATTAGAGCTGAGTGTGCATCTACTGTGCTGCTCAAAAGGCACTGTGGAGGCCTAACAGCCCTGAGGAAGAAGAGGAAATGAAGGCTACTCAGATGAAACAGGTTTTATGATGTGCCAGTCCCTTGCACATAACCATACTCTCTTGTGTGCATTCGATCACATTTAAAGAGTTTTTTTTTCCCCATGTTATCTGGCCTGGAGGAATAGCTATGGCCTCATTCTTTTCATCCAGCATCACAGTGACTTTTCCTGCATTTCTAAAACAAAACATTCCCCTCTCCCACTGCTCACCATCCTTGATAGAGAAAGATGTAACAATTCTCCATGACAAGTGCTAGTCTTAAACACAAACTGAAAACTTTTTAATCTTACATGGTGTATTTGCGTACAGTCATGCTGGGACGTAACACACTTTTGTAGACAATACTGTAGCCTACACGGTATTTCTGTGATCATTTCAATAGAGACACAAAGAATGTTTTTTACGTATTGTAAAGTGTGTTATAATAACTAGGAAAAATGTGTGGGTGTTTTGTTGTGAAACCAGAGGAGGTCTGGTCCGATGAACCCAATTAGAAATAATTAAGTGAATTAATGTAGATCTGGGCTCCATCTCACTGGTCTAATTGTATCTATTACCCCAACTGTACAAAGTGAAAATGCCTGCAAACTAGATTATTGTCATTGGTCATAAAACTTTTCAAAGGTAATTAGACCAATATAATGATAACCAGATTTTAAACAATAATATAGCTGTTCTTTGTTTTGTTAGCTGTCTGGGCATGTGCAAGTTAGTGCAAGTGTGTGTGCATGTTAGTGCACGTGAGTCCCTCCCTGTTTAACATTGGCCCTCCCCATGTTTATAAACAGGCAGGCACTGCCCACACACGAGCCCACACAGTGCAGTCAGCAGCACTCAGGTGAGAGTGACAGCATTCAGGTGAAAGCAATCTTCCAGAGTTTCCCCTACTGAAGAAACCATGTTTTTGTCAAAAAAGGCCTCAGACAAAGAAAGAGATAAGATCTGAGCATACAGACTGGCCATGGGGACTACGGCTCAAATCCGATAAATTTTTGTGGCAACACATCCATACAGTTTTTTAAGTTTTTACGATCAGTGTCTTTATGGGCTCCACCAGTGTCTTTAGGCTCAGTCAGTGTCATGTGTCCGGATGGATAACTCCAAGGCTGAATTTCTTTCCCAGTCTGACTGTGTAGCCAAGACTGGTCTGGCTTTACCAAGATAGAGAGCCCCACAAGCGGCCAAAGAGGTTCAGTGTGACCCGGAAACTGGCTCTTGACTCTTCTCCTCCATGTGTAAGTAACTTGATAGGTACATGATGTCACATGTCGGTTTTCATTAGTGACCTTCTACTTTAGCCATGGTAACTTTAGCTAACTTGCTGTTACCCATATTGTGGATATGCTCGGTAAATGTTGCTATAGCTGTTTTACTGCCTGCATTGCTGTGGAACATATCACGGCAATGCTAACATTTGTGTTGGCTCTTGTGTGTATAGGGCAGCTTTATTCAGTTGTGCTTGCTGTGTGATGAGCCAATTTTTTTGTAAGACCTTGCTGACATAGAAGGTAAAGGGATCTATGGCGATTAAGCATTTGTGTGACGTCTAGTGGCAGTGACGATCGTTTACAGAACCATCAAGCTAAGTTCAATTCATTTCTTGGTAATATGTCTTCCTCTGTAATGATCTCTTTTGTTAAATTTCATGTTAAAAGAATACCAAAATACTCATAGATAATACATCACATAACATTTTATAAACACACTATCTATAGAAAAGCATAAATGTCAAGTTCTTGTCCCAGGCGGCTTGATGTCATGGCCGTGGTGGGAATTAGATTGTACTTTAATGTTAAATGCAGTGTTTCACCTTGTAGCCAAAGTCCTCACCTGTGTTTGGGTTAGAATTTATGTGACTCTTTTTACGTGACGAAGTGCCACTCTGGTTAATAATATCATCATGTTAAAGTCGTGGTCATGATCGCAATCAAGTGAAATTTCTCACTAGACAACACACACTAACATAAATATTTTTTTAATTCCATCAAGTCAAGTCAGTTTTATCCATATAACTCAAAATCACACATTACCAATTTGCCTTAAAGGGCTTTACAATCTGCACATTGTATAACATCCTCTATCCTCAGACTCTGCCAAAAAACTCTCTACTGGGGAAAAAAGAACCTCAGGAAGAGCAACAGAGGTGGGATCCCTCTTCCAGAGTAGACAGAAATAACTAGCAGAATTACACTATAGAGAAACAGAGTGACAACATTAGCTTTTACTTTTAAACCTCATGTGGCTCTGTCACACAATCTGAAGATAAAAACAGTTTTCTTATACATAAAAACCATGTCTTTCTCTTGGGGAACAGGGAAATCATTATGTCTGTGGTTGAGATATCCTACACTTCCATGCTGCTAATTTTTACTTTTAAACTTGATGCAGTTTACTGTTGTGCCTTGTGTTTCATTACCGGAGATAAATATCATCCTAGTGTGTTCTGTTTGACTGGTCCTCACTAGCATCAAGAATAGAACTCAGTTTTTATTTATAAATGTTTCCAAATAAAATCCACATCAGTATATTACATTTTATTCTCAAATGTAGCACTACTGTTCATCAGACTAGATACAGTATGAGTAAATACTGTACTTGGGAAAACTGCAGTACAGTGGTTTACAGCATATAAATGGTATGAATTTCAAAACATTTGCTATACTCAGATTTCTCTCACGAATGATACTGATCTCATTTAGATCCCCTCATTAAACAAAGGTTATACTGTATATCAGTGGGGTCCTCATGCTTGTGGTGTGTGAATTACAGTGAGTGTTGGAACAAGTACCCAGATTTACCTAGGTAAAAGCAGCAACAGCAATGGAAAAAAAAATTAAATTAGGACTGAAGGTCTATTCTTGAAAAGTGGCTCCTGTGACTAATCTGAGTGGGTGTCAGACAGGGTAAGGGTCAAAGGGAAAAAGCTATACATTAACAGTTATATACACAAATCAATGTTAATTTCTAGACTTTTGTCTATTTTTTTGGCTTTTTTTGAATTAAAACTTGTTTTTTATATTTAAAATCTTAATCTGAAATGTAAGTCATAAGCAGGGGACTAAATTTGGAGTGTGGAGTAGTTGTATAAAGTATAACATACAATGGAAATACTCAAGTCAAGACAAGTACCTTAAAGCTGCCCATATGTAGGTAGTAAACGTCTTGAGTAAAGTAATTAGTTACTTTCCACCACTGGTGAGAGAGAGCAACAGATAGAGAGAGAAAGAGGGAAAAAAGTGGCAGGTTCAGCACTATTTCAGCACTGGACAGCTCCCATCAAATCCAGCATCCAGGCAGAGCAGAGCAGAGCAGCACGGCTGTAGCAGACATGATCCAATCAATCTCTCCCTGGCTATGACCCTGCATGGCAGGCAGCTCTGTGGGCACAGTCTAATCACTGTGCTGTTGAACCTGCAGCGGACTCACCAGCTCTTTGCTCACACATGCTACCCGAGGGGGAAAGCGTCACTTTTCAGCAAATGCTCAACCCCTTGACTGTTGGGGGGGGGGTGAATCTGCAGAAAGGAGAGAAAACCCAACATGTCTCTTAGCAACCATTCCTCAGAGCTATAGATTCACCTATAGATCAATTCCTGTCTTGTGTGTAGAGGTCGCCTATGGCTCGCTCTTTTCTCATGAGAACTTGCAGACTGTTCATTGTTTGCTGATGCATGTGGATAGAAATCCCTGTATTCTCTTCCTAAAAAGATATTAATTTCACAAGTTTACTAAACATGCTGATAACATCGTATAGGAACATTTCACACCTAGGCCTATACCAGGAGATAAAAATACTAAAAAGCACAGCAAGGTCACTTTAAATTCTTTGACCAGCATAAAACTCCTTGCATGATGCTTTTGTTGTCAGGAGAGCTTTTATTTTTGTTCCCATTTCCTCCTACAAAAAGTGACCCCACGCTGTGCCACTGTGACTGATTCAGATGTTTTCAATTAACAGGAAACACTTCCTTTATTGGTGAAGAGGCATGTTGCATTACATCATGCAGTCCTCTCCTGCATATTTGGGGGGCTTCAAACGAGACACTAGATGGCAACCACGTTGAGAGGGAGAGACAGCGAGTGTGTATGTAAGAGAGGAGGGGGAGAGAGGAGAGGTGGTGGCGGTGGGGTGGTAGTGGGGTGGGTGAATTACGTCGGCGTGGGACAGTGGAGGGACGGTCTGCTGATGGCACGCAGCTTGCAGCTGGAGGAGAGCTGCAGAGAGGGGAAACAGCTGAGCAGCGGGGAATGAGATTAATGCACAGGTAAAAACTGATCGACCACAGTTGGATGCAAGAGATACAGATTAAATTGACTGAAGTTGCAGATTAGATTATTATTGCCAGGTGAGAACAGATCTGCAGTGGAGGGAAAGCGAGAAAAGATGTGCTGCGTCCGTGGCGCCACTGGTGCGCTATCTGGGGACAGAGTGAGCGGCGGCCACGCGCTGACACCCCGCTTTTAGATGGCTCCAACATTTGGGGTGCAAAACAGGTGTCAGGGAAGTGTCGTCACGAACCCCGGAAGCCGGAGGAGGTGGGAACATCAGAGAGAAAGATGGCAGCGAAATCCGATGGTCGCGGGGTCGTCACCGGTTTCGCCCAGCTGCACAACCTGGACGAGGTGGTGGGGACGGGAGAGGACGACACTCGGAACGGCAGCTCATTCCACATCTGCCACTGCTGCAACACCTCGTCGTGCTACTGGGGCTGCCGGAGCGCCTGCCTGCATTACCTCCGGGGGAAGGGGAAGGGGAAGGGGAAAGATGCGGCGCGGCCACCGCAGGAGGAGCGCCTCTGGCTGGACTGCCTATGGATCATCCTGGCACTGCTGGTCTTCTTCTGGGACGTGGGGACCGATTTGTGGCTGGCCATCGACTATTACCACAAGCAGGACTTCCTGTGGTCAGGCCTGACCCTGTTCTTCGTGCTGGTGCCCTCGGTTCTGGTCCAGATCCTGAGCTTCAGGTGGTTTGTGCAGGATTACACTGGGGGCGGACTGGGCTCCGTGGAGGGGCTGAGTAGTCGTAGAGCTACAGCCTGTCTGCAAAGAGACAGGTGCTGCCGCCTCTCTGTCTGGGTCTGGCAGACTGTCATACACATCTTTCAGATGGGACAAGTGTGGAGGTAAGACAAACTTAAAGTTTATCCCTTAAAAGAATCAGATAACCCCCCCCCCCCCAAAAAAAAAAAAAAACACAGTGTTTCCAGCTCCTCTCACTCCATCCATTCACTCAGCCTTCTAACCTCTTCTTGGCTGTCACCTGGTATAACCCGTTGTTGTGTACATGACCGGGTTGAAAATCAGCACCGTGGTGATGCCATTACGCTCGCCTCACAGTCTCCACTAAGCTATTTGCCCGTATTTGCATAAAACACACACACACACACACACACACACACACACACGTACAACACAACACATACACAACATACATACATACAGTATATATATATATATATATATATATATATAGGCCTAATATACATGCAACAAATTTCTTGCTCTCGCCAAATGTGTCCACACCAAACTGCCACAGCTGCACAGAAAATGCACCGCTGAGATTATTTCATCACAGTGCGCCATTGCGCTTGTGTGGGGAGGGAAGAGGGCTATTTGTTCAAAGAGGGACAGGTAGCCTAGTAGCCGAAAGCTTGTGTGTGTGTGTGTGTGTGTGTGTGTGTGTGTGTGTGTGTGTGTGTGTGTGTGTGTGTGTGTGTGTGTGTGTGTGTGTGCGCGCGCGCGCGCGCGTGTGTGCGTCTGTCAGGCGCGCCGCTCACATCACAGCGCATCACAGTGCACACTGTCGCCTCAATTCACCCGCTCTCCCTCCCCGCATCAAATACTCCAACTCTGCAACTAGAGGCCAGCCGAGCATCTGTTTTCACGGCTCACAAAACTACATCTTCCCCCCCACAGACATGATGTCATCGATTCCTCTGCGACGCTCGACATGTTTGGTCCCCAAATCCGCTTTTTTTTTATGGCCATACACATTGGTGCGTCGGGGGACCGCGGGTGATACTGAAGGTGTACGTCTCTGCGCGTAATCTGTGGCATGTCGCGGCTACAGTAGTAAAATGTGACACTGGTGCGCGCAGCTTATCTACTCCATTTAGACTGTTCAGCAGCGAGTTGTTTTTGGTGCAGACAGACGCAGTGGCTGGCATTTAATGGAAAAAAAAGTAACGCATGACGGCTGCTGTGAGGAGGACTTCCAGCGGCTGAAAAATGTAAAGCAGCAGTCTCAGTGAAAGGGGTCAAATAATCCCATCCTGTCTACAGGTTTTCAGGGGACGTTCATAGTTTTTTTTGCGCATGAGAGACTGAGGTTGACCACCAGTTGTGTCAGAGTATTTGTGTTTGAGAGCTGCCTTTGCTCCTCATGATACAAATGGATTTTCTAAGTCATGATTGTGTTGTAGTCTAATACAGGAGAACATTTGCGCTACAGGCTAAATTACTCACTTGCTGACTCTAAGAGTAAAATCTGAACTGAAACTCACTGACCTTTTGGGGGGGGGGGGGGTAATTGCCACAGGCTTTAAATGAGATACCTTCTCGTCCAGTTTCACCTCACAGTTCAGTATAAAAATAAACCCAATTTTCTTCCTATGTGCTTGAAAAGAGCTTCACTCTCATGTTCAAGCTAAATTTAGTGCATGCCGTTTTGCATCCAGTGTCAAAATGGGTTTTCCCAGAATGAGACAATCCACTGTTCATTTTGAGCTGCACCTGAAGGCTGGTGTATTGATCAGCTGCAGTTATATTGGCTCAAGTTTATTTACTCCAGTGTGGTTTAGTTGATTATTTTACTCATATCTGTAGAGGGAAGAACATATGGAGGGTGCTATGAAGTGGCACCTAAGTCATTGGTTTTGTTGGTGATAGTGATTCATACATATACCATGTATGTAAACCACCTCCAGTTGACTAACCCCTGTTGCACAAGCAAGAGGCAGCTTTCTGAGGCGGACACTGGACGGGAATCAGTGGTGTCAGGGAAAGAAAACATGTAACTAGTACATTAGATGTTTGGTCATGTCTCACAGCATCCTTGTATGCATAATGTAGTTTTTTGTCCAATATATTGTTACCGTTGTTTAATGGTTCTACTACCTCATGTAGATTAATATTAATATAGATGTATTTTGGCATTGCAGGAAAAGTATAGGTGTAAATAATAACATTAATTATGGTGTATTTCATTTATAGGTGTGTAATTTTCAGGGTCCCGATATTGTGCACACTGGCCCACTGGCTTACCATACTGGGACACTTAAATAAAACTGAGCCATCATTCATGTTTTTACTCACAGCTGTGCTTTTCCTGCTGTGTGCTGTGAAAAAGGCCTATTGTGTATACGTTATGCAAGTGTCTTAGAAATTAGGAATAGTTCAACAATAAGCTTTGTGGCCAAAAGTTTTCATATCTGTTTAGGGGAATATAACAGCCAGCAGCCAGTTAGCTTAGCTTAGCACAAAGACTGGAAACAGTGGGGGAACAGCTAGCCTGGCTCTGTCCACAGGTAACAAAATCTGCCACTAATTCACTATATGTGCTGGACTATTTGCTGGTGGGGAACAGTGATAACCGGAGTCTCTGCTGGTTGCCTGGCAACTGTTCCAATAACCCCTCGCCACATAACCTCCCGTAAAATATAGACTAGACACTATAAATGTTTGTCAGGAATATGCTGTTATGGACATTCATGTCTGTGGTCACATGGCAGGTGTAAGCATTTAAGGAGGGGTCATGACATGCCTTTTGTGTTTTCCAGCCAGACCTTTTATTTGATGTTAATAAATTACAACCTTTAGAGGAATATGTAATACAGCAGGACTTTCCTTCTACTGACAGTGATAGATGTTTAGGGACAATAGGTCAAACCAGGTCACAATATTTGCACCAACTTTAGTTTTTACGAGTTCATGAAGGTAAAGCAGTAAAAATTTACCTAAGATGAACCAAACAAAATTTAAGTGAGTAGAAACAAGAGCTCTGAAACTTGCTTATAAGGAACTCAAGGAAACATAATGTGTTGGTGTGTATGTTGTGACAGCACAAAGCCTGGGGCGAGGGATCATTGTCAGGCCACTGTTTCCCTTCGGACATGATCCGGCTGGCTGCTGGTTCGGGGTTGAGGGTCAAAAGCTGCTCTTGTCGGCTTAGTGAGAGCTCACAACCTAAGACCCACAGGGCTAAAACTTGATATGGAGATTATTAGCCACCGTGAGAGGCCACCCTGCCAATAGGTAGCATATGTTATCATGTTACAATGTATTGTAATATGTATGTTTGTGTTGAGCAGTGTACTGGGACTTTGTTCACCTGAGATTTTTATTCCACAACATATGGATTTTTCTTATCATATATTTTAGTATCATATGGGGAATAAATGATCATTTTCCATTACTGGATTTCAAAGCAGCTATCTCAGCCATTCTTGGCCATTCTTGACAAGATACCGCAGTATTGGTGTGCACAATGTTTTGCCTTCATTAATATTAGAAAACAAGTTGAAGTGCTGACAGGAGTCAAAAACACTGCCTCATCATGTCTCATTACTCACTTCTATTTTCAATTCCTCTTTCAATTAGCTGCTTTCCCCCCGTGCACCTGAGGACCGAGCTGATGACAGAATCGCCAGGCTTGTTTTGCAGTTATCTCCTTGTTAATTGTTGACAGAACGGAGAGGGTTCCTCTCCCATCTGTAATCCCACTATGTCACTGGCTCTCCACAGCTCTTTCATGTCCTTCCTCTCTGTGAATCACCGGCACTGCCGACAGTGTCTCCTTAAGCTTTAGAGATTCTGCTCACATACGCTCAGGCACACAGTGGATCACACATACACGGAGGTCTCCTGGCAGTGCGATGGACAGCTTAATCAGTGTAAGCCCAAATTAGCGTCTGACTGAGAAAGAACTGCATCCATCTCCTCCCCCTGAGGAAATCCATGTACAAAGTTTTAGATGCTCTTTTTTGTCGGGAAATCCCTGAAGAATTGGATGGTGTGTTGTCCTCTTCTTTCCTTTTTAATTTCTTACACCTGGTTGAAAATATTGAACAATAGGCAATTTTCAGAAACTACTTCTCACTTCTCAAGTGAGCGAACGACTTTAACGACTCCAATGCCAGTTACTAACAACTGAGTAGTGAGGATTCAATATTTTTAAATACCAAACTCTAAATACATGCAGCAATTAAATATTTCAACATAGTTAAACGATTACATTTTTAAAGGGACAGTCCACTGATATTACAGATGAAGTTGACCTGTTACAAGGAGAACGACATCTGAGAGAACAGCTGAATAATATCTTGTGTGGCTCTGGAGGGAGCTTCTCAGTTTGTAAAAGATAACCTTGTTGATGTCATCAGGGGTATCTTGGCTTGGGTTTAAGAAATGGGTGTAGAAAATGTAGGATCCAGCATTGTATGGACCTTGACCAATACTAGAAGACAAAAGGTCCAGATATTCTGGACTCTGCTGTTTCAAACTTGACCATTCATTTTCAGAGTTGTCCGCTGTGAGTCTGTCCTTTTAAAAGACCTTTAGATTTCCAGGATATACATGATAATCCCCTCATGTACAATGGTTAATCTAAAACATCCATGCCCACTGAACCTTTTAAACCCTGCTGTCCCATTTCAGCCTGGACGTCTAGAACCATTTACACATCTTCTGTGCAGTTATATACTGTCGCCCATAAAGTTGGAATAATTTTGTTTTCAGACACAATCCTCTGTTTATTGCTATTTAAATGCATCAGTAATCACTTTTGACCAGGTGCAATGATTACATTATGTGTCCCAATTACCCAGGTGAAATGAAATAAATCACATTGTCACAATCATTTCATGGAAAAAGGAAAAAAATATTTTATTCCAACTTTATGAGTAACAGTGTATAAAGATTAAAGGTGGTGCATTTTAAAGTTGCTCAGTCACTAGCTGTATACTGTAGAAGAATAATTCTTGACCCCTTTTGCAGGGATCCATCTGTGGTGGTCAACCTAAGTTTTCCCAATTTTTGTATAGGTTTTAGTTGTCACAACAGACATTTGAAGGATGATTTAAAGGATGGTGATTATTTGTGCAGTTAAACACGACTGTGGAGCTGT